GCTCAGCGCGTGGACTTGCGGCCCCCGTGGGTCGCGAGAGCTTGCTGAAAGAACCCTCTTCTGGGACGCCGCCGCGTCGGAGCCCGCGCCTAGGGCAACAGGGGACACTTCCCCGTGCTGGGTGGCGTCACGCATGGCGCCGTCGGGAAGGGAACGAATGAAAAGGCTAAGCTGGTAGACCAAAAACACACACACACACACACGGCACGGCACGGGCACGGGCACGGGCACGGGCACGGGCACGGGCACGGGCACGGGCACGGGCACGGCACGGGCACGGCACCGGCACGGCACGGGCACGGGCACGGGCACGAGCACGGCACGACGAGGCAAGCGAGCGACACGGGCACGGTGCGGCACGGGACGCGGGCGGCACACGCTTCACACCCAACAACTTGAGGACGGCAGGGCACGCCCACGGCACGGGGTTGGCACATGTCTCGCATTGTCGAACTTGCGCCAAGCACGGCAGCAAACACACGGCATGGGCACGGAAACGGCACGCGCACGGCACGGGCACGGGAACGGCACGCCACGGCACGCGGGCGGCACATGCTTGACACTGTAAAACGTCGGCAAGGCACGGCGGCACGCGCGCGGCACGGGCACGGCACGGCACGGCGGCGCACGCGGGCAGAACATGTTTCGCATTTTGAACCTCGGGTACGGCACGGCACGCGCACGGAACGGCGCGCGCATGGCACGGCACGGCAGGAAGACAGGACATTTCTTTCTAGAATTTGGGCCCGACACGGCACGCGCACGGCGCGCGCACGACACCCATTTCACGCGTGAGCGCTTGCGCACGGCACGGCACGCGCACGGCACAGGCACGACACGGCACGCGGGTGGAACACTTTTCGCAGACGGCACGGTACGGCACGCGGGCGACACACTGTTCGTCTTCTAGCACTTAGGCACGGCGCGGCACGCGCACGGCACGGCACTGCAAGCGCGCAAGACATCACGCGCCGGCGGCTCGCGCACGCTTAAGCCCTAGAAATCGTTGGTTATACTCTAAATTCGTTCGGCGTCGGAGGACATACCGTGCCACGCGGATCGTCCCCGTAGGGGAGCTCATCCGACGGCACCCGAGACTAGCGTCCTCCCGCCCATGCTGGCCCCACACGGAATCCCACCTACGCCCCCAGAGACAAGATGCGGCGGCACGCCCATCACCCGGAACGCACCCCGCAAGTAACTCCATTTGCGGCACCGAAGGGAAGCTTCATAGCGCAAGCCCGCCGATTTCGGAACAGCTCCCACATGGATCACGGCCCACTGGGATCTCTACCTGCAACCCAAGGGGACAGAGTTCGCACTGCGCCCCCCCCCGCCCATTGCGGCACACCCAATCACGCGGATCGCGCCCACGAGGAGCACCACTGAGAAGCCCAAAGTCAAGGTTCGCACAACGTCCACTTGCCCACGTCGGCGCACCCGTCACGCGAATCATGCCCCAGATGGAGTTCCACCTACGGCACCAATGGGAAGCTTCGCATGGCGCCCCCCCGCCCACTTCGGAACATGCCTCGTGCCTAGAGGAGCTGCACCCGCGGCCTCAGCGGGCGTGCTCGCGCGTGGGCATCCGAATATTTCGGCGCACCATTGACGCGGATCGTGCCTCACACACAGAAACGCAGCCCGCCCGTGCACGCGCGATCCGCAACCGCCCGCTTTCCGCGTTGCCCCGCGGCGAGCAGTATATGAATAGAGGCCCGTGCCCCGCGCTACACGTGACTGCACACGAATGCGTCCGTCGCCATGCCTTGTGTTTGATTATCTATGGCCTTCGGCCCACACTGGCATCAGTCCTGCAGTTTGCGCCGGAGGCTGCTCGGAAACCTGGAATTACGAGTCTCTCGGCATGCTTCTCAGGCACCCCGTCCAGCGAGCCGCGAAGCTTCTCTGGGTCTCTTGCAGGCCGTTCGGGGCCCCGTTGGCGGCGCGCCCCCAAAAGGCGCCCAAACCGCCCCCAAGAGGCCTCCAAACTGCCTCCAAAAGACTCCCGAAAGGCCCCCCACGAGATCCCAGAGAACAGTCAATTGTCTTCATACCCGCAACCCAAGCAAGGTGGCAAGATGGGCCGAAGGCCACTAGATAGCCAGAAAGGACATGGGATAGTAAATGTGGGAGAGCGCATGAAGTACGATATACGTTTGTCCCACTCGAAAGTAGACAGCAAGCTGGCTAGGCAAATAATGCCGCGCGGCCCTGTGGAACACAACGGAAACAGATAGCTCGCCTTGGTCGCCATTGAACTCCGCTCAAACTCGGGACGGGCGGAGACGAGTGGCATTTCCGCTCGCCGACACTGCGCTAGCAATGACCGCACGGCGAACTACCACACAAGCCAGATTGTCGCTAGACTGAAGCACTCGGTTGTGAGTTAGCCCAGGGTCAAACCAAATAGAAAATCGAATGGCCTCGCAAAGGTTAGGGGCCCGGAGATCCACGCGCCCAAACCAATCCTAGAAAATTGAACGGGACCGCGACAAGGCGTGGAATGAACGCGACCATCCCCTGCAGGAAGGCGCCCCAACCACCAGCCCTCGTAGAGCCAAGCTCAACACTTGAAGCCTGATTGGCCCAATACGCTGTATATTTCTTCAGGTCGTGCTCGAAGAACGAGTACCTGACACCCAATGTAGAAGTAACTCACGATCTATACTGCCTCCAGTATGTCTGTCGGGTGTCATATCAGGTGTGTCGCACCATTGCACACTATGTACGATACCCTGTCCATCCTTTGTCAGGTCCAGCCAATGTGACCTAGCAGTGTACCATGCGGGTTTCTGTCGGTCCTTGCTAGGTAAAGGTTTGAAGACGGACTCTGAATCATTGGCCAGTGCGACCTCGATGCGTTGACAACTATGTTTCCAATGTGTGTGTGTGAATTCTGCTGGGGTGCATGGTCCCGCATGGAATTCGCGCGGCGTCACGATAATCGGGCAGCAGCAATCCAAAATGCGCGCTCGCGCTAGCGCTTCCGCCGCATAGCTGGAGCGCACCTGCAGTCGATGGGCCTGGAAGTACGCGTCTCCCAAGTGAACGACAGGCTGCCCACACTGCTTGCGTCCACGCCCAAGAAGGTTGGCACCTCTGATGCCATGCCCTTTTTACCTCGTTGTCGGAGTCGCCGTTGAGGCATCGGTGGCCCGAGTCGCTGCGCAGGTTCGCCTTCCCTGTTGGAGTCGTAGTTCGGCATGCGAGTTTCGTTGGGCCTGCCTGCAATTTCCTGGCGATGGCGCTAAGTCATCGCACCTGCACGTTGGACGGCGCTTGGACACAGCGCTAAGTCATCGCACCTGTGCGCTGGTCAGTGTTTGGACACGGCGCGGAGATGCCTCGCACACCATCACCCATACTTGGGCGATTGAGGCACAAGCCAGAGCACCCCACATGCCGATGAACACATCAGCCAGTCATCGTCGCCATTTCTTCTGCTTCAGCGCCTGCGAGCTCGCGATGCTGCGTCGAACGCAACTGGCTGACGCATTCGCCCTGGTCGTGGGCGACGCTGCCAACTCCAAGTAAGCATCGTATACCTGGCGGCGCAATTTGCGCACGAGTGTTCACAGAGTTCGGACAGCCTCGCACGAGCGCGCGCACGCGCGCTATCCACACGCGCGCGCGCACGTCAGAAAGTTATGCGTGATTGCATGCGCGCGCGCACCTGCCTCGGGACAGCTCTTGCCATCGGTCGCCGCTTTGCGTCGGCGCTCGGGCCCCACCTCGGGCGCGCGGCCCTTGGCTCTGCAGGCTGGCCGCCGCCCCTGCAGGCAATTATTGCAGCCCCACTTGCGGGGCACCGCCGTTGCGGCTCTCCCCCCGCTTTTGCTTTCCCTCTGGTTGGGAGCCCACGTCCACGTTCCACCCTGCCCGCGGCTGCGACGCGCGCCACCCTGCCCCTCGCCCTGGCAGCGACGCGCGCGCCGGCCCCAGGACTGCGCTTCCCTCTCCGCCACCAGCCCCCCGCCACCTCGCCCCCGCGCGGCCTGCGCCGCCCGGCTGCACCGAGGCGCCCTGCAACTCTGTCGCCCGCCCCGCCGCCTCAGCGTCGGCTGTGCCGCGCTGGCCCTCTACCCGCCGCCGAGCGCCTCAGCTGCCGCGCCCCGCAAACCCCCCCTGGCGCCCTGGCCCGCCGGCCGCCCGCTGCCCCCGCCCCCCCGCTTGCTAGGCTTCGCCCGCACTGCGGTTGCCAGCCCCGCTCCAGGTCGCGCCCGCGACGCCGCCCGGAACCCGGCCGCCCCGCGCGCCCCCCGCGGCGCCGCCGCGCGAGCGCCCCCCGCCCCCCCCCTTCTGCGGCCGCCCCCTCCCCCCCCCCATCTTGCACGCGGGGCGAAATTCGCCTCCGCAGCCCGTTTCCGTTCCACGCGCGAGCGGGTCGCCACTGCCGCGCCGCGGCGGAAAAATCTCTCGGTTTTTGCGCGCGCCGAAACTGTTCTCCACGAACTTGACGCACTTGTCGATCACGCACTCAGTACCAACCGCGCTTGTGTCATCGATGTGTTGCGCCGTTATAAGGTTCTGGCTAGTCTCGAACTCTCCGTCGCGCCACGCGGGTCGCAGTCCGAATCCCTGACAGGTCGCACGAAGCTTCAGCGAGACCGCCCTCTGGGCGCACTTGGCCCCAGCGCCTGGTTCGAGGCACTGCAAGGAGTGCTTCGATTCGTCGTAAGACGCGAAGCCTGGGAGCGACCTCAAGACGGCAGTGGAACCCGGCGGTAAAATAAAGCAACCTGTTTCGCTCCTTCTCGCCGGCTGCCTCGGCCAACTCGAGGTAGGTCAGCCCATTCTAAAAAGATTTGTCGACGCCCATGCATGCGATGACCCATTGTCTCATGCGGGGCGTCGCGCTGGCGCGCAGCCTCCGGCTCGATCGCCCGGCCGCAGCTGGAAAATCTCGACATCGAGGTACCCGAGGCCTATAAATCCCCCCAGCGCTAGCCGGGGTCGCCTGGCGCGGACATATCTCCCGATCCTTCCTCGACGAAGCCCCATGCGCACACGCGCCAATCCGACCACCCTTCGGGCGACGTGGAGGTTCGGAGGGGAGGAAGAAGCAGCGCCTCATTCAATCGAACTCACATCGATCAAACTGTCGCCTTCACAATAAATAGCATTATCAATTCCAGGACCGATCTCACAATCCGTCTCACTATCAAAATCACATTTGAGCACACAACAGATCTCAGCATCGGTCTCATCTCACTGACGGGCCCACATATAGATCTCGCGAGCGACCCCGCCATCGAGCTCACAACAGATTCCACGACCAATATCACAATAGATCTCCCGAGCGATCTCACAGATCTCAATATTGACCTCACATACGGATTTACCACCGATATCACGACAGTTCTCACGGCCGGTCCAACGATCGATCTGACTGTGGATCCCACATTCGACATAACCATGGATCTCACGATCGAGCATTCGAGTTTACAACCGATCTCAGTTTCGATCTTACTGTCAGCCCACTATAAACCTCAAGAGCAATCTCGCTATCGAACCCACAACAGATCTTCACTATAACTCACACTATGCATAGCACAAAGGATCTCACTATCGGGCTCACAATCGATCCCACTATCGATGCCACTATCAATCTCACATCAGGTCGCACAGACGATACCCGAAATTTATCCCACTATAAACTTGACAATAAGAACTCACGAGCGATCGCACAAGCGCGACATCACAATCGATCTCACTATCGATCTCACTATCGATCACCCACTCGATCCCGCCATCGATCTGACAAACGAACCCCCTAACGTTCTCATAGTCGACAAACTATCAGTCTCGCAACAGTCCTGACGATCGGTCTCACTGTCGATCTCACGGTCGGCTTCACCATAGATCTCACTATCGGACTCGTATCGATCCCAACCGATCTTACGATCTACCCCAGAATCGAACTCACAGACAATCCCACCGTCGATTTCACAATGGAGTGCAAAATCGATCTCACTTCACATCCCACGATCGATCTCAAAACAGATCTCACGATCGATCTCATAACAGATCTCACAGTCAATATCACTACCAAGTCCTCGATCGATCTCACCGCCACGCCACCGCGCCCACGCAGCTTCGCCTCACCCGCACCCACGACGCGAACACGAATCCGAAACCGATTTCCCGGTGGAGGGCCCCTTTCCACGGGGATCTCCACCCCCCCCTCTTCCGATCTCGAAGTCAGAATGCGTGGCTGAATGCATCCTGAAGGATGTGGCCAAACCAGATTGGGTTCTGTGCGCAGCCCCTTGGGTATCTTCATCGATTCGCTGTAATCTCAGCTCCAGTGAAAAGGCCGCCCCCTTTGACGAGCACAGCCCCCGCGGGGCCACCGTCACATGTGTTCGCATCGCAGTGACGCAACCGTCGAATTGCAATTGCTACTGCTGGCCTCTGAGTACAACCTTGGACATTATGCTGCGAAACATACTTAGGCATTTCGTGCGTGCTCGTCGAAATCTAATAGGTGTCATCAAGACTAGCTGGACATAGGGGAACATGGCACGCTTCCTCCATGTCGCACTGCAGGAGACCCCGCGTTGGCAGGTGGCCCTGCTCATGACTGGCGGCACGTGCCAGCACAATGTTTGAGCGCATCCGCTGGGCTTGTACCGAATATAGTTCGGCAGTTGGAGCGGCCTCCAGGAGTTCCATTTTCTCTTTCAACAGATCTGTTTGCAGTTTCTCCATGCTGTGCGCCTCAAGGTCGCATTCAGGCTCCTCTTAGATGGTGGGCATGCGATTGGCGCTCGGCTCGGGGAAGGTCACTCACGCACCCCCCTGGGCGCGGTGCTGCGTCAGTGGCAGCGTGCCCGCCTGCTCTTCGAACTCGGACAAATCCTCCTCGGAGCCCGCCATCGGTTTCGAGCATTGGATCACCCCGACGTTTGACACGGCAGTGAAATCGTTTATGTTCAGGGCTGCGCCGTTGGATTCCTGATCATGGAAATCTGGAGAAAATGTCGTTGTCGTGATAGACCAACGTACAGCTGCCAGCGCAGGTGGCTGCAAGGAGTCGGTTGGTGCGCACGGCCAGTCTCGCTGATCCTACGCTTTCGATGAGAAGTAATTCATGGTAAGATGAAGGGCCAACTGGGCCCTGGGCAACAGCTTACACATGGTACTCTGTCGCAGGTCTCCCTGCTACGTTGGCAACTAGCCAAAAGTCATATGCATGTTCACCATAGCCCTGACACCGCTTCCTCGCGATACCCATGACTCCCAAGTAACAGATAATTGTTCTCGAAAGAATCATCGTCGGGGATCGTTTTGTAAGACGCCTGGCAGGCCCTCCTGAAGGCAGGCGTACCACGTCTTGTCGTTACCTTGTGCGTTGAGATACGATGGTCGCCCAGTGGACCTGCAGTTCGGTTGCACGATGGCTATGGCAGCGCAGCATGTGTTGAGGTAACGGATCACTGCTTGTCGGACCTGCGAATTCCTGGCCCACGTTGGTGCGCTTGTCCAATTCTCTCCGAATGACAGCTTCCTTGTGCAGGCTGGCAATGATCCCGCCAAGTCCCCCACAGAGTTCCATCAGTTGGAATGTCCATGTCATAAGAGTAAATCAGATAGTGGGCACGTCTGCACGCGCGTCCGCAAGCGATGGTGGGCCAACAATATCTCATTAGCGTCATCAACCAAGCCCTAGCTCTTGCATCGGAACATCAAGGACGTATGCGGCGCACTTATGCCTTTGAAATGTTCGCCACGGTCGTCGCTGCCGCCTGCTACATGCTCGCCTGCAGATGGGCATCCGCAGGTAGTACAATCTCCTGGAGAACCAGGAATGGCGGCATAGCAAGTAGACCCATCGCCGGCAACCTCACGGCCAAGCCCAAGCCAAGAGGACGATGAGCGTCACTCGTCGTCAGGGGCGCCGCCGCTACGTCGCTCGCGGCCAGGCAGGGCGGCGACCGCAGGGTCCCAGCACAGTCGGGACCTGCCATTCCTGAGTCCAGAAGGTAATGGGGCATTCCAATCGAAGCCTGTCGCAAGGTCTGCAAGTATTGGATAATCGTTTCGGCGGCCAGGTCACGCGCCACCCCGCGCACGATTTCGTCCTCCTGAGCACCGTTGAGCGGCGCCTGAACGCATGTCCGAGTGCCCTTGTCCGTTGCCTTCCCACCACGTTGCGTGCTGTTGGGTTGGCCCAGCGGTTCCAGGAAATGATAGGACTGCGCGTGCGATCGCAGCGCGGCCCGCCCGCTTGCATGGCGCGCGCTCACGCCAGTCCCAGGGCGCGGCCCCCCTCAGCATTTGCTGCTCCCCCGCTAGTAAGCGACCGAGGCGGCGGGCCCCGGCAGACGCGACGCCATAACCTCTGTGCTATTATACCGCCAAAAAACGCCTCCATGTCGGATTTCGGCGGCAGCCTCGCGAACATCTTCTACGACGAAAGCTTTTCCGCAACACGGGTGACGGGCAGCGGCGAGGCACGCGGCCACGCTGGAGCCCCGCGGACCCTCGGGCGGCCGATCGATGCAAGACGTCGCGGCAGGGGCGCTGGCCTGCCCCCGCCAGTCGATGTTCTCGACTGCCGCGGTGGCCCGGCGACCCCTCGGCCAGTCCCTCCCCGTTGGTGAGCTGCCGCCGCTGCTCCGCGTAGTAGCAGGGATGTTTGGGCGGTTGCTGCTGTCGCCATAGCTGGCGGCGTTCGGCGAGACGTCGTCGACGTCGTCAGCCCCAATGTGGAACGCGGCCGGCGAGCCCGCGGGGGGGCGCCCCCTCGGGGCAGCGAAGCCCACTCGTCCGAACGCAACGGATGAAGGATGTCCTCCATGTCGCCCGTCTCCGACTTGGCAGCCGCCTCGGATTTCCGCATCGCAGATGCGCGTTAGAAGCCCCCACCTCACATCGGACTTGCCGCGCCTCTTGTCGGACCTGCGCCAGCGGCCCCGCGCGACGCCGACGGCCGCGAAGATCTGCGCGCCCCACTGATCCAAAGTGGGCGTCGATGCGCGCGCCCGCGCCGGTGTCCTGCTCCAAGCGTCGCGAAGGCGTCTCTTGCCTGACCCCGCCGCGATGTACACCGCGAGATACTCCATCTGGGTCGCGCGGGCGTCGGCCTCGCTGCCCTTACAAGCGACGCGAAACCCACCGCTGGCGCGGCAGACCGCCGCGCCAAGAGCCCACGCCAGCCACGCAGAGTGGGCGGCCGAACTCCAGCACTCTCAGCATGCGCCCATGCACGGCCGCGGCATCGCGGAATAGACGGGCCGCGCAAAACCGAGCAGATTGAAATTTGAACCAACGCCCACGAGCATGCTCAGTTTGCCGGCAAGCATGGCACGGATTTTTCCAGCCACGGAGACTGCCGCCTCATTCATAGGAGACCTCGCGCGCGCTATGTCTGCAACCCGCAGGCTCTTGCGACGCCTCATGTCCAGCGTCCAAGCGATGAGGCCCTGAGCCATGGCAGTGCCGCCCCAGCTCGCGCGCCGGGCCTTCCTTTCCTCATTAACGAAGGGATCCCTGTCGATGACCCATAGGTCGGGGACCTGAAAACTGGTCTCGGTCGGCAGCTGGCCCACACTAGCCGTGAATGCCGAGATCGAGCCGAGGATCGCGAAGACCCGTTGGAACATCAGTAGGCACTCCTGTGCACTACGTGCGACGGCATGGCCGTGGGCTCTGCTGGCCGTTAGGCGTGGCCGCCCGTGGGGCCTGCCTCCATTTCTTACCCGCTGTGCCTGTTCAGTTATATATAATAGCGGATTGGCATAGGGATCGGAGGCCCTGCAGGTGGCCCCGCGCCGGCAGCAGCAGCAGCAGCAGGTGTCCCAGCGCCCTGGATGGATGGCCCCTCTTTTTGCATAGTCGGCGCTGGCAAGAATGGCATTGGGATCAATGTCCCGGCAAGATGGGCTGTCCACACACAGCTGCGCTGGACGCGCACGGGGGTCGTCGACGAAGGCGTCGTCAGCAACCTCGGCGTCGCGGCGACCCGCGAAGTGGCACCGAGCATCGACGATGCCCAGCCCGTGGCACACCGCGCACGGTGCCCAAGTAGACGCACAACTCCTGCTTTGCCCACGCGCACGCACCTAGCTCGGCCCCAGCACGCACAAAAAAATGCCGCCCGCGCTGCAGCCTGCACAGAAGGAAGTTGAAGAAGACAACCGACCACCAGGTTTAGCATCCTGCCCAGGCGCCGTTGCCCAAGATGGGGGCGACCACCAGGCGCGAGACCCTGAGCCAGAAATAAAAATGAAGCTCGCAGAAAGCCACCAGCATTGCAGAACGGCAAAGAAATTCTTAAAGAGAAGAGCAAATGGGCGTGAAATGGCCCACGAGACTCTCAACACCGATGTCCAACAAACATTCGGGACCTTGAACTCCGACGCGAGAACACTGCCCAGACCTCCCTCTCAGACATGTACAGGTGACCAAGAAACAAGCCTCCAGCTCCGTTGCGCGTCTCATGCACTGCTACAACCAGTCGCGCCCAATGCCGGGTCTACGCCGGACTCGGCAGCGGCTCGAACGCACGCCCGCGGGATCGCAAGCGCTTCGGGCTCTCGCCCGCCCACCTGGGCGGCGGCTGACGCGATGGCATTGACGACCTCGAACCAGACACGATGAGCTGCCCCTGTCACGAATACACGAAACTCTGGCCAAACTAAACTGGTCTGCCCCTCACGGGCCGCCCACGCAGAACGGATCCGCATATACTCGCCACAGGAGACAGACTCGCGTCGCGCCGCGAGGCCGTCGCGGAACACCGCCCACAGCAGCACGCGCCCAGGCCAGCCAGCACCTCGACGATGTTTCACTGCGCGCCCCCGAAGCTTTGCACCAGTAGAACCCTGGCTGTAACAGGGCCCCTCGCGCCCGAGCGGCGCCCACGGCGCGGCGCGCGGACGCGGCCAGCGGCAAGATTGGACTCGCACTGCAAAATGGCGGCCCGGCCATCGCGGCCGAGCGCCACTACGTCGCAGGGCGCGGTCTCATTCGCGAGGCCGCGCGGCTTGTAGAAGCTGAAGCTCGGCCCGACGGGCGGAATGTCTGTCACGTTGGCGCGCGAGCAATCTGGGGCACCAGGGCCGCCAGGAAAAATCCCCGCTGTTCAGAAGCGAGTTCAACGCGCCGCTCACCACGTCGTAGATACCCCCCGCCCTGGGGCCGCAGCCTCAACAACGCATCCCTGATCTGGAAAGGGCCCAGACATACCGCGCACTGAGTGAAAGCGACATCCATCACCAGGGGGGGCCCCGCGTCTGGCCTGGCGCGTTGCTGGTGTTGGAAGGTCACCTCGTCTGGCAGGTAGGTCGACGGTGGCAGCTGCTACGTCGGGAACCGTTGTCACGTTGGGGGCCAGCATCTTGTTGGCTTCGGAAACTCACGTCGGCCTGCGTCGGCATCTGAGCCTGCATTATCTCGTGCAGCTCCTATTAATACGGCGGTAGTGGCCCCGGTGCATGGAGACCATCTCCCCAGCTGGTTGGCACGCCATGCGCGGGCAGTCGCGCGAGTCCAATACCCGCTCAGACTGGAGACAAAAGATTCCACCCGCCAGTTCCCTCGCGCGCCTGTCGCTAGCGCACTCGCCGACCACGGGGGCGTTGTCGCGCTTGGCGAAGAACTCTGGAAACCAAGGCACCTGCGATTGCAAGTGGCCTGGGTTCGCGGCGAAAGAGGACGGGAACGGCCGTCCGTCGGAATGAATCTCATGGAACCACTCCTAGGGCGGCACCCAGTTGTTCCGGTCCGTGCTGCTGCTGCTGCTGCTGCTGGAGGTGTCACCGCAGCTCCATGATGGAGCTGTGTAGCCCGTGGCCAGGCGGCGGCCGGTCGCCCGCGCTCGAGCCCGCTGGCGGGCTGCCGTTGGCCCGGCCTAGCTGTCGCGGCGCGACGAACGGCCCAGTCGCCCGCATCCCCGCAACCAGACCAGGCTGCTGGTTCATGACAGTCATGTGCTGACGCAAATCGAAAGCCCTGACGCCCATGTCATCGGCGGCGTCGCGTAGGATGCTGCTGGCGCAGATCCGCCGTCCGACATGGCAAAGTGCTCGAAGTGCGCAGCACCTGCCCTGCCCGGCGGTCGCAGCGAGGCAGGTGGACCCGCTGGCGCCGGCGCCCAGGCACCCCGCATGCCCGACTGGAGCCCGGGCCCCGCCGCCCACGGGTCGCGGCGCGCAAGGTCCCCCGCGATGGCGGAAACGATCTCGGCTGGCATGGCAGCCACATCGGACGCTGAAGGCATGGCCCATGATGCCAGTGACCCTCGCTCCGAGGGGGCGTCTCCTGCAGGTGGCCCTGCGTCTGGCATCGGCGCATCGCGCGGGCCGCCCACCACGTAGACGGCGTCCCCTGGCGGCTGGCGCCAGGTCCCTGTCTGGGCGCCGGGCATTTGCTTCTTGCCCCCGCCGCTGCGGGGGACGGAGTACACAGCCCTGTCTGGCATGCCCAGCGCGCGGGGGGCGCCCTTGTCGTTCGCGGCCACCACCTGGATGACGCAGCGAAGCGGCATCACCCCGTCGAGCACGAGAGTGGGATGTCGTTGGCAAACCTCCAGGTTGCCGCTCCGCGCTTCATCAACCGCCTCATCACTGCGAACAGTTTTTTTTCGGAATCTGAACGCATGCCTGATTGGATACGTGGGTCGTCTGGTAAGAATGGGAAGCGCAAGTGAAGGGCGCACCGCTCACGCACACGGGGTCGCGCCCCTGGTGGCCGGAAACCCATCGGCGGCAGATCGACTCTAGGAAACCGAAGTGGGAAGCATTGGGCGCACTCTGGATGGCCCATGACGGCGACCCGCGAACGCAACGGGTTGGACACGAGCGCGCTCGGTCTCGCGAGGCCGCTCGTGGCCCGATGAAGAGTCAAGGCCGCCGATGGCGCCTAAGTATGGAATTGCAGCTGAAGCCTACCCTTCCTTTTGCATGCCAGCGCGGGCGCCCGTCACGTTCACGGGCGCGAGTAGCACCAGCGCGATGTAGTCGGGGCGCGGGCGCGCGCCCTTGCCAGTGGCCTGGAACGCGGCTGCTGCTGATGCGCCAGGTTCCTTGGTCCTACAAATACCTGGCTCTTGCGGTCACGATTTGGCACCGAGGCGCTCGACGTAGTCGGCGGCCGCAGCGTCGTCGGCGACTCCCGCAGGGAGCCGCGGACTTGGCCTCCCCGACGCAACCGTCGAGGCCGCCTGGGCGGATCCCTGGAGCTCACCCCACGCGATGGACAGCGCCTGTCCGTGAATCGTGGGATCGCGCAAGGGCTGGTTCCTTCGGCGCAGGCTGCCATGAGCCCTGAGAGGCAGCCGCCCTGCTGGCGACAAATTTGGATCGGACTGGGCCCTCGGGTCGTTCCCGAGGGCCCTTGGGGCGCCATGCTAGAGGTTTGCTCATTTCTACAAGTATCTCCTCGGAATTGGCACTCTTTGCGCGCGGCCGCGCCTGGGCGAAGGACTCAGGGCCAGCTGCCGACTACCCCCCCTGTCTCCCCGCTGCGCCAGAAGCGCGGGCGATTCGGCGCGACTCGGGTCACCCCTCCGCCTCTCGCGGGGAATGCTCATCCAGCTTGAACTGCAGTGCTTGCGGTTACGCGGTTCTGTTGGTCTTGTTCACGGCCCGCGCCACGATCGTCGTCGTCATCGCTGGTCATCATGTGACATTTGTGGTCGTAGCCGATCGATGCGGCGATCGCACTCGAGGTCGGCCCACGCGTTCACGGCCGCGGCGACGCCCTCGGCCACGACAGGCTTCCTATATGCCGCAGACTGAGCTGGACCACCACGCCCATCACAGCGGTCGCGGTCCTACGGAGTCGCCATGCGCCGCGGCGATCGCTACGGCCCGTCGAACGGGCAGCCGCTGCGGCTGTTCTGGAAGAGCAAGCTGACGCAGACTCGGCACTGATGTTTGCCCGCCATCAATTCACGCTCGGCCTTCCTCTGCGCGTCACTGTCCTCGGCGCGGCCATAGCGGGCGCCTCGAATGACGCGGCCATCATCGTCGCGGGCCCCATGTTTGGAATGTTCACTCCTGTTTTCCTCGCTCGCTCCAACCGCTGGATTGATACCGACGCGCGCAGTCGCCAGGGACAACCAGTCAACCTCGACCGCCACGAGCTCGCCCTTGCCCTGACCCTGGCCGGTGCGATCACCCGGACAACCTGCTCATTGCGCCCCAGCAGCAAACGTGGCCGTGACGGAGTTGCCCCAGCCCACGGCCCTCAGCTCCTCGGCGGCGAAGTCGATGACCGTCGGAGCTGGCCCGCGGCCGAGCGCGTAGCCCCATCACGCCGTCGATTGGCGCGCGCCCGTGCAAACGGGCATTCAGCTCGCCCGTAGCGGCCAAGACTGCCAAGATTATCTCGGCCCCAGAAGCAACGCCCACGCCGTCGCCGCCGACCGCCAGTTCGTCGCTGAGCGCAGGCATGGGGATGCCTTGCCAGTCCTGGAACGGAGCGGTTTCCTCCTCGCAACCGCGCAGCTCGTCGAAGAGGTTGCTGGCGCTCTGCTCGACCCGCTCGGACCCTGCAGCAAAACGCGCCACCAGGGCCCAGGTGGCCGACGACGCCGCCGCCGGTGAATCGAAGGAGGGAAATCGACGCAATCGACCACGCAGTCAGCATGTCCTGAGGCAAGAAAAATGGGATCGCCCCTCGTTCCCCTTTCGAATTGGGCACTGGGCCCAGACGTGATTAACACCGCCACAAGCGTCGCACTACACACGGTTCCTGTTAGGGCCAAGGGGTTCATCTTTCGCCGCTCGCATATTCCCGAAGTCTTTCGGCGACCCCCGCCCTTTCCTTCGCCGCGGAAGATTTGTTTCAGACTCACTGTGAGCAGGGGATGCTAGTAACGCGACAACGATACGGCCAGGCAATCACCGCCTGCAAATGCCCTTTTTTCGCCCAGACACCTCGCACTCCACGCCGAACGCGTCTACCAAGTTCATCGACGAATCGTCTCAAACGACGCTAAGCTTGTTGCTTTGCAAGAAAAGGGTATTCAGCTATCCGTTCGTCAGTGGAGCGCACTAGCACGTCTGTCCGTTGTACAACTTCAATACCTGATTATGAGACGGTGTCGGAGTCGGTGCCAGAGTCGAAAGGCGAAGCTGGTTGCCTTGCACCTCCCCAGAGGGTGGTCGCTGAGTTCGACGGCGGAGCGCAGGCACCTCGCGGCAGCTGTGACCTGGTGGCGCCACTTGATTGTGCGACGCCAGTTCCCTGGTCAAGTAATGCCCTGGCTTGTGAAGGGTCTGCCCCCTCAGATGGCGCCATGCGCAGTTGTCCCACCGCCCGCCTGGGCGTTGCCGGCGGCATTCCTGCACGGCTTCCACGCCCAGAGAAGATGCCTCCAATATTGCCTGGGGTGCGTTCAGCTAAGCGGCCATCGGTGCGCATGCGCTCCAGTCGTCGATCGCACTGTTGTCGCTTACGGGGCTGTAAGAGCTGCGAAGATCTGGAGCCGGCCGAATCAGCGTCCAGCCAGGCCATCTCGAAGCGACCGAAGACCGTATCGACTCGCTTCCCGCGCTCAACGAGGAAGCCAATGAGTGCCGAACCTGACGCCAGTTGTCGTTCGTCGTAGGTTTTCGAATTTTGAGCTGCGGAGGAACGTAGTATAGGTCGCTGCGTCGGCGCTGTGGCCTCGGATGGCCACTCCGAAGTTGATTATACAGGACGGCACCGTTACCGCCAGTGTCCTTGCGAGAACACTCAAACCACGCTGCAGCGCTGCGGCCTGTCGGGGTGGTGGTGTCATCGCGCCGCTGGCAACGTTCAACCATGAGCGAACTTCTCCGACGGACTCGCGAAAAAAAACGTTGCCTGCTGTATCCCAAAAAAGACGTCTGGTACGGGAATCATACCATCCTGACTGCATGCACCAAACTGCAAGACCGATACATGTCCGTATGATGCCGAAGACCGTGTTTGTTTCAAAGAGTGCGGTGTAAGATTTGCTTCACGGATGTGGTGGTCTTGCTTTTCCGTGGCTGACGTGGCCGTCAGCTTTCGGATGGGTGTTGGCGCTTGTCTGCGCGGAGGTATCGAGCCACGTAGGATAACATTGTAGCGAAACATGTTGCCAAGTGTCCCTTGGCTGCGATTGAGAATATAATGACGTATAGCCGTGGCGTACACGTAGTGGTCGACGTGGCCGTCGACCGGTGCATCGTCAAAGGTAAACAAGTGGCCAGGCTCCGTTCCGCGAAGGAACGTTGGCGCAATAGGAGCCACCATGTTAGTAGTCCACCAAGCTGCGCCGTGGAACACAAATATTAAAGTCATGGCCAGCCACACAAAAGTGAGGCCAGCCCAGCTATTAACTCGAAAGTGGCGTGGTAAGCCGCAAGACATCAAATGTCTTAGTCGCCCCAAATATTCCAGCTGCGACGTAGCGTCGGCAAGGCATAGCGCACAGGGTCATGGGACAGAAGATGTGGGAGAACGCATGACAGAAGTACGATGTACGCTTGCCCCACGCGAAAGTAGACAGCAAGCTGCCAAGGAAAATAATGCTGCGCGCCACTGCGAACCACCACGGCAGCGGATAGCTCACGTTGCTTGACTTGAGCCTCGTATTCGAACACCCCCAAAAATGGTAGACTTGGGCCCAGCACAGCACGCGCAGAAAGGCACGGGCAAAGGCACGGGCACGGCACGAGGACGGCACATGTTTCGCAGTTCTAGAGTTTGGCATGGCACCGCACGCGCACGGCACGGGCACGACACGCCACAGCACGCGGGCAGCGCACTTTCCGCAGTCTAGAACTTGGGAACGGCACGGCACTCGCACGGCAAGACACGGCGCGTGAACGGCACGGCACGCAAGAAGCACATGTCTCGCATGTTGTAACTTGCACATGGCGCGGCACGCGCACAACACGGGCACTGCACGCAGCGGCACGCGTGCGGCACACTTCGCATATAGCATCTAAGAGCATGATATTACAATGCAAATGTACAATGCGAATGGAGCCCCTATCGTATGCGCAGTCGCTGCTGATTGCCTGTCCCACAGTTTGCCCCCTTGGATGTCCCACGATCGCTTCCAGGCGGCCAACAGACTCCCCGAGATTACCGAAGACGGTTCTTGATAAGGAGGCCCCTAAAGGATCCAAGATGCTGCGAAGATCGCCCAGGATTCCCCAGCGAGGCCCCAAGATGCCCCCAAGAGGCCCCCCAGATGGGCTTAAGAGGCTCCTAGATAGCCCCAAAGTTGCCCGATATGGCCCCGAAGTGGACTGAGAGGCCTCAAGATACCAAGACGGCCCAAGGAGGTCCCAAAACTGTCCTAATCCTACCAGCCGTTGAGGGCGTAGGTGGTTTAGCGAATTCGCGGTTCCAACCCCTGCCTGCCCCTTCGAGGGGGGAGTATGTATCCCTCCCCTTACCCCCTCCCCTGGGTCTGGACGGCCTCCGCCGCCACGCGATAGAGTGTCCAAGATGGTCAAAGATGGCTACAGATAGCCCACGATGGCTCGGAGGTAGCATATAACATGCCTCCAAGAGGCCCCAAGACCCAAGACCGCCCTAACACGGCTCCAAGTGGCCGCGAAGATCCCCAAGGATGCCCCCGAGAGGTCAAAAAACGGGTCGACACCACAGGGATATATATATATATATATATATATATGCTGTGCGTTCTCGCCATTTCGCGTCCGATCTGCTCTGGAGGCCTGAGCATGGCTAAGAGATGGCCCACAAGAGCCCCAAGAGGGGCCCACAATGGCGAAACAACCCCGAGTGCGCCCAAGAGCGCCCCACGACCACCCCAAGACGACCGCAAGAGGCGATTGGTTGAGGGCGTCGACAAAGGAACCCTAAGCTTTCCTGGCGAGTCCCAAAACAATCCCGAATTAGCTCAGGAGAACTCCAAGACTTTTCCAAGACGCCTCCAGGAGGCGAAAGATCCGTGAAGGCCTTGTACGGCTGACGTATGGACCCATGCAACTGAACGCCCCCCCTGGAAATCGTTTCTGAATGGGCTGGCTCTGATACGCGAAGCGTCGAGGACCTAGCCACAAGGTGGCTGAGCCTGAGGAACTGGCGGCAAAAGGCCCAGCGCTTCTGATAAACATATTGGGCCACGCACCGACCTGGTACAGTGACCTCCGACAACGTCATCATGGCGCAATCAGCAGCTGGATCCGAGTCGTGACCTTGAGGACATCTCTCTTGGATTATTGTGTGCGTCAATGTTCTGGGGGCGCAGGTCATCGAGGCGCACAGCAGGTCGACACACGTATGCTCAAACCTCATTTAGAGTCTATTTCACACCGTTCCAATCCAATCTTATCAGACCATCCCGCTGGAAATATGGTCCCATGGTCAGCCTAGCGGGCCTGGTCAGCATGGGCTGAGAAAACAATTCTTGCAGCCCCTGGATGTCATATTGTCGGTCGCCTCCGCCGACGTACGGCTGGTTCGTGCCGTGACGTTCGCCGCGTGGATCGTTCGGCCTTACACGATCGCGGCTTTCCGACATCGGGTGCGCGGGAGAGGGAGGAGGACGAGAAGGGAGGAGGAGGAGGAGGAGGAGGAGGAGGAGGAGGAGGAGGAGGAGGAGGAGGAGGTGGAGGCCAGAGGCCTGAGGATGGGCTCGCGGGCCACCAGCGGGCTCAGGCGTTCAGGTAGGACGTGGTGTCGATCTGGGCGGGCATCGCGCCGATGTTGACCTCGAAGCGCTCCTGGACCTTCTTCAGCACCTCGGCGTCCTCGTCGGATCCCGAGAACGTAATCGCCAGCCCCTTGGTCCCAAAGCGCCCCGCGCGCCCCACGCGGTGGAGGTACGAGTCGCTGTCCTCGGGCATGTCGTAGTTGATGACGATGTTTACCCTCTCGATGTCGATGCCGCGCCCGAACAGGTCGGTGGAAACCATGATGCGCTTCTGGAACTCCTTGAACTGCTTGTATCGAGCGATGCGGTCCTCCTGGTTCAGGCCCGAGTGGATGGCGATCGAGGGGAAGTTGCACTCCACGAGCAGCTTGTCGAGCGCTATGGCACGCTGCACGGACTTTACAAAGATGACGACCTGATTGAACTCCAGGGCGTCAAGAAGATCGTTCAGCTTCCTGTTCTTCTCTTTCTCCAAGAGCTTCACGTAGTACTGCAGGAGCCCGTGCAGCGTGAGCTTGGACTCCTCGTCCACGCGGATCTCGTGGGGGTCCTGCATGAACTTCTTGCACAGCGCCCTCGTCTCGGCTGTCATGGTGGCGCTGAACATCATAACCTGTTTCTTCTTCGGGGTCTCGATGAAGATCTGCTGGATGTCTTTGCGCATGTCCAGCTTGTCCAGGCACTTGTCGCACTCGTCGAGCACGAATTGCGTCAGTTTGTCGAGTTTCAGGTCCTTCTCGCGGAGGAGGCCGAGGACGCGGCCGGGAGTGCCGATCAGGATCTGAGGGCAGGACTCCTTGAGCATCTCCTTGTCCTTGCTAATGGGGACGCCGCCATAGACAACGCCACACTTCACGTCCGCGAAGTACTTGGCAAAGCGGTCGAACTCGTGCTTGATCTGGTACGCGAGCTCACGCGTGTGGCAGATCACCATAGTCCTGACGACCTTTTCACTCGCGTCGATCTGCTGCAAGCACGCCAGGACAAAGACCGCCGTCTTGCCCATGCCAGACTTGGCCTGGCAGAGCACATCGGTGCCGAGGATGGCCTGCGGGATGCACTCGTGCTGCACCTCGGAGGGGTGCTCGAAGCCGCAGTCCACGATGGCACGATTCAGCTCAGGCTTGAGCAGGAAGTCCTTGAAGCCTGAGGGGTGCGAAGGGGAGGCGCTATGCAACAGAACCCAGCAACCCCACACGGTGGCTCATGCGGGCCGCCGATGCGGCGCCAAGTGCGCGGAAAAGAGCCAACCCCCGGCCGACCTCGAGCGCGCGAGCGCCCGCGCGGCTCCCCGCCCCTTCCTCTCTGCGCCGCGTGCCTGTGGCGTGAATGTTGGCGTAGCTGCCCTTCTTCTTGTCGTCCCCCTCTTTCGGCTCCTCCTGCGGACGACCCCGAGAACGTGTGCTCATGAGCCGTCGGAGATCCGCGCGGATGGCTTGAGCCGGCGTTGGGCCCCAGCCCTCCCTCGGACTCCTTGGGACTCCCTGGGGACTCGGCCCGCGCCGGAGCGGCGCCAGAGGCTCCGCCAGGGGGGGGGCTCCCCCGCCGACCCCAGAGACCCGCGCGGACCTCCGAGTGTGCACGGGCACCGTGCTACCATCAAGGAGCACGAAGAGAGGAGCGGAAGGGCTTGTCTGGCCACAGCGAGCCTGGGCCACGAGAAGCCCCGACCTGGATCTGCGGGACGTCCCGAAAGCTAGGACCCCTCCTGAATCTAATGTGGTCTTTACTGTGGGTCGTCGACCACGCTTGTGACGGTTTCTGTTCTTCGATCCTTGGCCTCCTTCTCGTTGTCCTCGTCGAAGTCCGGGAGCTCCTCGTCGGCGGCTGCCATGGCGAGACTGGGCTCAGGGCCGCCTACGAAGGCTGGCGAGACTGGCGCGGGAGCTCGAGACACGGAGAGCTCTGCAAAACTAGACCTAAGGCGTTCTGACGGTTCTGGCTCGTGTACACGAGCGCACACACGCACAGGCTGCAAGGTTAGCAAAACACAATCGACATAACAATGAGCTTTCGGAGGTCCGTGCGGAGTTCTTGGGTCGACGCTGGTGCCCCTTACCCTGGCGCGCTTCGCGCGCCCGGGGCGTCGCCGGAGACACTGCCAGGAAGGCTCCCGCGCCGACCCAAAAAATCCGCGCGGAACTTCGAAAGGTTGTGTTTATGCCGCTTCTGTTCTCCTAAAATGTAATCATCGTGTGGATCGTCGACGCGCGCCAGGCTCCAAGGAAAGGTGGTCGTTGCGACTCCTCGTCCGCGGCTGCCACGGAGATCGTCCGGATTGCAAAACATGCATGGATGCCCGACCGTTGATACGCGGGTCAAGTCGACAGTGTAGACGACCGCTTCACCGAAGTGTGCCTCGAACACCCTGGCCCCGCTTGGGGGCACAAGGCTGTGAACGGTGTTGCTGGGCTGCTGTCCTGTGTTTGTTCTACTGTGTTTCGTTTATATTGCCTCTTGTTTCCCCAGTCCTGTCCACTGCGCCCCAAAAGGGGGAGTGAGGGCCAAACCTCCTGGCCGCTCCAGGAAGCCACGGGGTTCCAACAGAAACGCTTCCAGACAACCCAAGAGGCCTCGAAGACGGCTGCAAGAGGTTTCGAAAAGGGCCTCAAGAGCCCGAGGCGGCCAACGATGGCCACAAAATGCTTGAAGATGGCTCAAGAAAGCCCCGGAACGCCGCCACGAGAGGAGTACACCAGGAAGGAACCAGCGCTGCCTGAGAAGACATGTGGTGAGCCAACGTCGACATGCACGGCACGGGCACGGTAACTGGCGCGCCGTGAACACAAGTGCGCACACACACACACACACACTGTCTTTCTCTTTCTCTCTCTCTCTCTCGCCCTCTCTATTGGAGAGGCCTGACGGCCGGTGCCGCCGACCCTGATCGAAAGGGCTAGGAGTGGGGGGAGGAAGCGGAGGATGAGGAGGAGGAGGAGGAGGAGGAGGAGAAGGAGGAGGAGGAGGAGGAAGAGGAGGAGGAAGAGGAGGAGGAAGTGCATCCTTTGTGTGCCCGCTCGAAGAAAGTGCGCCCCGGGAGTGCGATATTCTGACTTGGGACGTGCTCCCGGAAGAGGAAGAAGTGCATCTCGGGCGTGCCCGCTCGAAGAAAATGCGCCCTAGGGGGGTGGTATTTTGACTCCGGGCCCGCTCCCGGGACGCCTCTGCGGGAGGAGGAGGAGGAGGAGGGGGAGGAGGAGGAGAAGGAGAAGGAGGAGAGGAGCAGGAGGAGGAGGAGGAGGAGGAGGAGGAGGAGAAGGAGGAGGAGGAGGAGGAGGACCAGGAGGAGGAGGAAGTGCATCCCGTGCGTGCCCGCTCGAGAAAGATGCGCCCCGGCGGGCGTCGAATCTGCCCGGCCCCCCCCCACCCCCCTGCGGGGAAGGGATCAAAGGAAAGGGGCTTCCCTTCGACTCCACTACGACGTCGTTTAATTTCGCTTTGGATAGCGCGCTTGAGGAGGAGAGCCCTGGGAGGGGGAGAACGGAGACGACGGAGACGACGAATCGAACGGAGAAGCCCCTGACACACGCCGACAGGGTCGGCAGATTTGTTTCTCTCTCTCTCTCTCTCTCTCTCACACACACAAAAACATGTCTTGGCCACCGCGGTTTCGCGCGGACGGGCGAAGCAAAGAAACGTCCCAAGCGACACACACGCACACGCACACGCACACGCACACGCACACGCACACACACACACACACAGACACAAAAAAAACACTCTTGGCGGTCGCGGTCACGCGCGCGGCGCTGGAGCGGAGGAAATCAACGAACGGGACACACACACACACACATCCACATACACACATATATACATTTGTTCGTCGCACCGCGGCAGACGCAATCCGCACGCGCGTCCAAGCAATCCGGGGCACTGTATTGCGAATTGTCCCGCACGCGAGATGGGAGGGACGGCCGCGGAAAAGCGGAATCGAAGAAAGGGAAAAAACGCACTCACGCAGCGCGAAGCCGCAGCGGGGCGCGCGGGGCGGCCGGGGTGGTGGGCAGCCCCTGGCACGCGGGCGCGGGGCGGCACCGCGGGCGCACCCACGGGAGGCATCAGCGGCAGCACTGCGAGGCGAGGTCCAACAAGGTGGGAAGTGCCGGAACTGCAGGGCCGCCAGAGGCCTCACATGCCAGAGCGGGGGGGTGCAGTGGCTGTGGAAGCTGCGCAAAAACTGCTGCGGCGAACCGGGGCGGGGGGCGGCACGCCCAACAAGCGACGCGGCGTTAGCGGAGGCGAAGCGCGACCGCAGGAGGCGAAGACGCCCGGCAAACCCAGTCGGCCAGAGAGAACCGCGGGGCCCGGACGGCTGCCAAACGGCGCGCGGGAGCCGCGCAAGCGGCCGCGGGCGGCGGGGGCGGGAAGCAACGAGGCCGAGTCCCAAGCCAGCGCACGCATCACAGCCGTGAGCACGGCGGCGCCCTGCCGAAACGGGGGCTAGGCGAAGGCTCCCAGCGAAACGAGGGCTAGACGGGACACGTACACACACATACAAAAACACACACGCACACTTTTTGACGGTCGCGGCCTCGCGCGCAGCGTCGAGACTGAGAAAATCAAGCGCAACGGCCAAAGCCCCGCGCGCGCGGGTTTCAGAGGGAAGCAGCGCCACATGCCATCCCCGGGCGTGGAAGTTTGGGAAGAAGGGGAGAACGAAACGACCGCCGGCCGGGGAGGGGCACACTCGGAAGGCGAACTAGGCGACACGGGCGGCACGACAAGCGACACGACGGGCGAACAATCGACCACCGCGCACTGAACGAGTGAACGAATGACTGGCAAAACGACGGAAAGGACGCGGTAAGAGATGGCAAAATGCCACAAGGAGGATTTCCGCGTCTGGACTTGCGGTCCCCGTGGGGTCGCGAGATCTCGCGGGGGGGGTCTCTTCTGGGACGCCGCCGCGTCACAAACCCCGCTTGGGGCAACAAAAGACACCTCCCCGTCCTGGCGGCGCCACCGGTGGCGACGTCGGGAAGGGAGCAAATGAAAAGGCTAAGCTGGTAGGCGAAGAAAAAGCGCACACGAACAAACACACACACACACACACACACACACACACTGTGCGACGGCGGTTGGGCAGAGGTGCCGCTCTGGCAACGCGGCATCACTGGAACACACAAAGTGCGAATTGAGCCGCAACGCACGAAAGGGGGAGAGAAGGAGCCGAGCGCGGGCGGGAGGGAGAGGAAGCCGGGCCCCCTCAGAGCAGGGCAAGGCGGCGGCGGGGCAGGCGTCGGGGGGGGGCGCCAGCGGCGGCGACGAGGCAGCACCTGGGGGCATGCAGCCGGGAGGCAGCCAGGCACGCGCCCAGGGGGGGGGGCGAGCAGGTCGAACAGCGAGGCGGCTGAGCACTGAGATCGAGCCGACCCCCCAAGCGACTGAACAGCCAACGAAGACCACCTCAGGAGAGAAGCCGGGAAAGGAGCTGGCAAAGGCCCAGCAGGCGAGGCAACGAGAGCGCCGAGATCTACGAACCTGCGAGCCGCGGGAGAGGGGGCGGCCCGGGCACCAAACAAGGACCACGGGGAGGCGGAGCAGAGCGCACGGGCCAGCCGGGAAGGCCGGCACGAGGACTGCGGGCTGGCCTGATTACCAAGCAAAGTGCGGGGGCCCGACCGGGGGAACGGCCAGGGCCAGCCCGCCCTGAAGAGGGCAGGGCAAAGCCGCCAGGGTGGGAGGAGGCGCAAGCGGGGCCTGACCAAAACTTGCAGAAAGCCGGCGATCCGACCTGCCGCGGCAGGGGGTGCAGCGGCGGGGCAGGGCTACCACCCGGGCGCGACGCGGCAGCCCAGGGGCGACAAGGGGAGAGGCGCGCGGGAGCCAACGGCGAGCGGCAAGACCAGCCCGCCAAGGGCAAACACAGCGGACATCACCAAGGGGGCGAGGCGCGAGCGGCGCAGCGCGCCGCGGAGGGCCCGCACGGCTGGCCCCACGTCGAGAAAGCGGGACAGGCAAGCGGAAACGCGAGCGCGGCACTCGGAAGGGGCCGAGAACGCGCGACCGAGGGCGCACAGGGGGCGGGCAGGCACCGAACAGGCGCAGCAGCGCGGCAAAGAGTGGCAGGCCGGCAGGAGGGGCCGCCGGGCGATGGGAAGGGGGGCGGAGAAGAGCAGGCAGGCGCGGCCGACGGTCAGCGGCCACCACGGCTAGGCGCGCGGGGGCCGGCGGCGCCGAGGGCCCGGCTAGCCACTATCGGCTCTGCTGGAAGGGGGAGTGGCGCTGAGAGCTCGATAGGCGACATGGGTAGCCACGCCCCAGGCGAGCCACGCGGCGCTCTGGCGAAGGACGACGGGGCGGAAAGCACGGGGGCGCTCAGGACAGGTCCACGAGAGGAGGCAGAAGGCGTCTGACAAGTCCTGGCGCGCCGCTACCAGTGACGACTGCGAGTTCCAGACCACCGCCAGCGCGAGGGGTCGTTGCTGGGCCAGGGGGGGTCGGACAGGCGCCTGCCTTTCCCCTGCGGGGGGGGGGCCCTGCCCCGCGCCCATGGGGCACTGAGCGCCGACCCTTCTCCTCTCCATTTCGAGCTCCCAAGAAGCACCCCAATCGACGTAGATGTCCTTGTCCTGGCAGACGGCGCGGACGTCGAAACTGGCCTGGACGGATTCTGACACGAAAACCCGGCAGAAGTCGGGGGGGCGCCGGCTGGGCCCCGAGGAGCCGCGCCCCAACTTGCGGTCGCATATGGCAGTCCAACCAACGGTCAGCACGGGGCCACATGTCATCTTGAGGCGGTTGACCAATTCCTGCCAGGTCTTTTCCAAATTGGCGGTGTAGCTCCAGCAGGGGCGCCACCGAATCTCCCGTCGCGCCTCGAGGCGCAAGCTGTCAGCGGCATCGTGGTGGGCGGTTACAGCTGCGAGGGAGAATCGGCGCGCGACGGGGGGGGTCGGCCCAGCGACATGGCGGGGCGCGTTCCACCACGTCGCTCCCGCGATCCCTCCTGGAAGCCCCCGGTCCACGCTGTTCATCGGTGAGGGGGGTCTCGCGTGCAAGTTCATCTTCGTCGCCCCCCGAAGTGCCCCCGTAGGACTGTTCCGCCTGCTGCACCTGTCCGCGGCCAGGGCTAGGTGTCGGAGGCGCGTCTCTGGGGCGCTGCGGGAAACCGCTCGTCGCAGGCCCAATCGCTGCCAGAGTTGGCGGGGCCGCCCAAGGGCCGTCGTTCCTGGGGGCCCCAGTCGCAACCACCAGCCGAGTTGGAGCGAGAGCGCGACGCTGAGGGCGGGCCGGGGGAACTGCTGTCGCGCCGCTTGCGGGCCGCCCCTCGGAGATCGCTGGGCGCTTCGATCAGCCGCACACGCCCGCCCTCACTGCTGTCGCGGGGCGACGAGCTGGGCCGCCGCACGGGCGGGGCAGGACTGCAGTCGAACTGCTCGTGGGCCCCACGCTTCGGGGGCGCTGGAGGCGGAGGCTGTCCGAGCCTTTGGGTGGGGCGCGAAGCAGGGTCACTGGGCCCGCCGTTCCCGCCGCCCGCGCCCTCGCCCTGGGGGCGGGCAGGGGTGCCGCGAGCGGGGGCGCTGCTACTGGCAGCTGAAAAGGTCTGCTTCCTTCGCGCAGCAGCTGCCCGGAACCCGGCGACCTGTGGGTCCTGGAGGTTCCTGGTGTTTCTCGAGCTCAGGTAGCCAAGCAATACCTCCTGGCAGTACCGCGCGGGATCCCGTCCTCTCGCGCTGGTCTGGGGGCCGTGCTTGAGGCGGCACGCACCCCGTTCGTCCGGCCCGCTGGGCCCTGGGAAAAGTCGCGGCGCCCTTGGCAGCGAAGGTGACTTACCAGCAGCGCGAGGGAGGACCCTCGGGGAGTCCTGAGCGGGGGATGCTGGCGCCGTAGATAGCGGTGAGGAGTTCCAAGCAGCAGGGCGCGGGCCAGGCCCCGGGGCCGCCAGGCGCTCCCCATCGATTTCCAGCCCTACGGAGGGAGCAAGCCCTGTGCTCCGACGTCCAATTCCTCCAGCGCCCATCGATCAGGGAGGACGCGGAACGCGCATATGCAACCATGACGTTCGCGGTGGTGTCGTCTGCCCTCCCGGCTGCGGGCTCCGGGTCAATGCGTCCGACGGCTTCCAGCCAGGCGATCTCCCTTACCTCGAGGAGGGGACAAGTCGGCGGGTCGACCTCGAGGAGGTCGTCCAGGAGGCTGGCGGGAGGCCGCCGGGGCGGTGTCGGCAGTCTGCCCAGCGCCTCACCGCCAGTCCTTCCGGCCGAGGCGGGACGGTCTGGCCTGACCAGCGGGGGCGCGGGGGGACTGGTTGCCTGGGCGACGGCGACCAGGCGACGGGCTGACGCCGGTGGTTTGGAGGAGGTGTGAGAGAGCGCCGAGGGCCGCCCCTGCTGGCGCTGCCTGACGCCCGCGCGGGGACGGCGCTCGGCTGCCGGAGGTGCGGCTAGCTGACACGCGCCGGAGCGCCCTGCGCCTGGGCGGTCTGCTAGTGGTCGCCGAGCCAGGGCGACCCGAGCTCTGCTGGGAGGCCGTCGGCGGGCTGGGCCGCGGTTCTGCGGGCGTCGCCTCCGCGTGGGCGGAGGCGGGGGAGCGGGCGGGGAGGCTGGAGGCCGCGTGACCTGCCTGGGCGCTGCGCCCTGCGAGCCCGCGCCACCGGGTCCGTTGCTGCCATCCTCCCGGGAAGGGCCTCAACGGGTCGGGCACGCTGTCGGGCACGCTGGTCGATGGCTGCCGGCAGTCGCCCTTCGATGGAGGGCGAACGGCATTGAGGGGATGAGCCAGGGAGATGGGCGCCGAGGCTGTCCGGGCCGGCTTCTCGTCCTTTTTACGAGCGGTCGCGGGGGTTGCAAAACGCCCGTCCCGCTCGAGCATTGGTCTGACCAGACTGGGGCATCCCACAGGTGCACGAGGCAATCGGGGCAGAACCAGGCAGGATTTTCATTGCACGCTGGCGAACAACTGGGACCAGGCGCGGAAGGCCGGGAGACGGCGCGCGGGATCGGCCAGAGTTTCCTTTTTCGGAGCGGGAGGTGAATGTGCCCAGCGGTGCCTCTCCGCATGGCCACTGCATCAGGGGGGCGAGGCGGTCGCAATGGCACTTCCACTGGCCGTAGCTGAGGTGCTCGCCAAACCTGTCGTCGATGGACTGTGCGACGACCAGTTTCCTGGCCGAGTAGCGCTGTAGCTTCTGCGGGGTCTGTGTCCCCCCACATGTTGTCATGCGCTGGTGTACCTCCACCAGCTTGGGCGTTGCTAGTGGTGGCATGGAATGCCCCTGCATGCCTTCCGCGTCCAGTGAAGATGCCTCCAATATTACCTGAGGCGCGTTCAGCTAAGTGGCCGCAGCTGCGTATGCGGTCCAGCAATTGATCGCACTGTTGTTGGTTACGGGGCGTATGGTGGTTGACCGACTGTAAGAGCTGCGATGCTCTGGAAGTGCTAACCCCGAAAGCCCGAAATAAGATTATCGTCGGGATCGTAAGTTGGGGATGGTAAAGCCCGCTGAATCAGCTTCCTATCTGACCATCTCAACGCGGGCTAAGCCCGCATCGATTCGCTTACCGCGTTCAACGCGGAAGTCGATGAGTGCCGAACAAGTCGCCATGTGTCGTTCGTCCTCTAAGTTGTCGAATTCTGAATGATGAGGAACAAAATTTAGGATTTTGTGTGGGCGCGCTGACCTCGAATGGACACTCCAGAAATGATGATGTGGGACGGCGCCCTCATCGCATTTGCCCTTGCGAGACCACTCAGACCGCGCTGCAAGGCTGCAGCCTGTTGGGGCGGTATCCTCACGCCGCTGGCAACGTTCATCCATGAGCGAATTTCGCGGACGAGCTCGCGAAGACGTACGTTGCCTGCGGGATCCCTGGAGGGACCTCTAAAACTGGTATCACCCCATCCTCCCTGCATGCACCCAACTGCAAAACCAAAGCATATCCATGAGATTTCGAAGATCGTGATCTTGACGTGGTGCATAGTAAGACCTTGACTACGGATGAGGTGGTATTGCTTTTCTGAGGCTGACGTGGCCGTCAACTTTCGGATGGGTGTTGGCGCCTGTCCGCGCGGAGGAATCGAGCCACGTAGGATGGCATTGTAATAAAACGTGTTGTCAGTTTTCTGTTGGTCGTGGTTGGGAGTGTAGTGTCCTATGGCCGTGGCGTACACGTAAAGGTCGACGTCGCCGTCGACTGGTGTATCGTCAAAGATAACGCAGTGGCCAGGCTCCGCTCCGCGAACGAACGCTGGCGCAATAGGAAACGCCATGTTGGTAGTCCACACAGCTGTGCCGCGGAATACCAAAATTAGAATCAGAGCCAGCCACACAGTAGGGAGGCCAGCTCCGCTACCAAGCAGAAAGTGGCATGGCTTGCCAGAATACATAGAACGTCTAAGACGTTCCCCATATCCCAGCTGCGACGTAGCGTAGGCAAGGAATAGCGAGAAGAGACATGTGACAGTCGATGTGGGAGAACGCATGATTAATTATGCCCCTCCCCGTTGTTTGATCGGTGGCCCCGCGAGGTCCCCCAAGGCACCCAAAAAGGCCCGAAGGGCCCCAAGGGAGGCCCCAAGAGGGTCCCCGGAGAGTCCCGAAGCCCATCTAAATTGGCCCAGGAGAGCTCCAAGACGCCTCAGAGACGCCTCCAGGAGGCGAAAGATCCGCGAATGCCTTATATGGTTGATATTTGGATGGATCCATGCAACTGAATGTCCATGTTTGAGGAAACTCGCCCTGCAATCGTTTCTGAATGGGCTGGCTCGGATACGCGAAGCGTCGAGGACCTAGCCACAAGATGGCTAAGCCTGAGGAACTGGCGGCAGAAGGCCTAGCCCTTCTGATAGATTGGGTGGACAACGCACCAACCCAGTGCAGAGATGTACGATCCTGACTTCCGACAACGTCATCATGGCGCAATCAGCAGCTGGATCCAAGCCGTGACTGTGTGCGTCAATGTTCCTGGGGAGCAGGTCATCGAGGCGCACAGCAGGTCGACACTCGCATGCTCAAACCTTACTCAGAGTCTAGTTCACACCGCTCCAATCCAATCCAATCAGACCATCCCGCTGGAAATATGGTCCCATGGTCCGCCTGGTGGGCCTGGTCAGCCCGGGCTGAGAAAGCAATCCTTGCAGCTCCTGGATGTCATCTTACCGCTTGCCGTAGGGTAGAGCACTCGCAGCACCTAACAGCTGCAGCCTTCCACCTGACGCTCGAAGGGTCGCTAATACTGCGAGATACCGCTGGACGACTGTGACTTGTATCCACACTGTTCGACGAACTGTGCAAAAGATGTACCTCTCAATCGGAATAGGTGCGCTCGTTGGAAGCGTTAGATGTCGGGTGGACGTCACGACTGGGCTGTGAGAAGTGGCCTGCTCGGCAAAATGTGCCCTGTGCACTCTCCGAGCACCCTGCACCTCCAGCAAGTGCCCTCACGGTCGAGATGCGGCGCGTCCGCCCCGGCGCAAACGGCACGCAGAGGCGTGTGTTGGGACGCACATGGACATACTAATACTATATGTCCTCCTTGGAGGCGCGCGTCCGACCCGAACATATAGTATACACATCTTGTAGTATATCGTTTCCCGAGCGGTGTGGCCAGAAAGCGCCCGCCACGACGCATATACTACAAGATTTCTCGGTGCGCGCGTCGCCCCTGGGGGGGCGACGAACACATAGTATAAGTATGTTGGGGGGATGCCGATGTGTGTGTACCGTCGGGGCGTTGACCTCAGGAACCCTAAATAAGGAACGAGGCCCCTCTTCTCCAGAAGTTCAACTTGGACTTCCCATCGAAAATCCAAGGATCTCCTGGGGCAAAGCGTGAAACGATGAAGGAACACGGAGCCCCTCCCCCAGCGAGAAGGGTTCCTTATTCGGAGCCCCGACCGTAGGGCGTCTGTCGTCTGCCTGGTGAGCCACAGGAGAGCCAGGACAGGGACCAAAGCGGGCAAGTGCAAGCCGGGGATCTCCGAGATCCCGCGGGTCTGGAGGAGAAGTTATGTCGGGCCCCGCGGCCCTCTCGGAGAGATGTCTGGAACGCTCTGGAACGATGTATCTCTACCCCCTGCGAAATGCTTAAGAAATCATGGGTTAAGAAATTCATAGTCTCAGAACTTGAATAAAACCCAAAATTCCCATTCAAACATTAGGATTTACATTGAAACATTAAGAATAATGGAGACTCTGGCCGAAAATTTAAGTTTTCTTAAGCATCGCCTAAGGTGTACCCTAGCCCTGCCCGACAGCTCCCCTCACGGCAAGGCCCCGCAAGAGATTGCGCCACTGCGTCTCGCCCTGCGGCGCTCTTCTCGACTTCACAGTGGCCCGAGGAGAGGCTGCAGGATGCTCCGAGAGCGTTCAAACACGGCCAGAGGCCCCCGAGAGGTCCCCAATAGCCGCCAGGAGCTCGCGAGAAGCTTCCAAGAGGTTCCCAAGAGCTGGAGAACCCATCAGACCCTTGGAGCCCGCCTTTTTAACCTTTCGCGACAACGCTCGTGACCGTCCCCTCGCCCCTCCCCTGCCCTGGCCACGTCACAAATCGCTCTGGCGCCGTCTGGGAATCAGCCATTCTTCGGAATTCCCAGGCGGCGCTGGCAAGAATCGTGAAGTGACCGACGCCCTCACCCCCTCAACCCCCCTGGTCACGCCCACTATTGTCAGCATAAGCATACGCGTGTTGTCGTTCGACACTGCCCTGCTTGCTCAACTTCTCAGCCAAAAAATCCACCACCGTGCCTGCACAGAGCAGGCGTGTTAGAATGCTGTGATGTTATCTGATAAGGTCTTCGTAACGTTCAGCAAATAGGCTTACCTAAGAGATTCTTACTTGATTGAAGGTTGGTGCCTCATAATGTTACTTCGCCCGTTGCTCGGAGGTTCCTCGGATTCCTCGGATTCCTGGTCCCCGGCGCCTCCTATTATTACTTTGCCCGTTTCCTGGAGGTTCCTCGGGTTCCCCTTTCCCCAGTTTTTTTGGGGGGGGGCTCGCGAAGTGTCATGACGCCCAAGATGGTCCAACATGGCCTCGGCGACAAGGCCAAAATCAAGAATCCCCCAATTAGGCTTGCCTGAAGGGTTCTTGGTCACAGGTTGGCGCCTCCTAATGTCACTTTGCCCGCTTCCAGGAGGTTCCTCGGGTTCCCTGGGTTCCTCGGGTTCCCCGCCCCCGGTGCCTCCTATTGATACTTTGCCCGTTTCCAAGAGGCTCCCCGGGTTCCCCGGGTTCAACGCGTTCCCCGGGTTCTCCTCGGGTTCCCCGGGTTCAACGCGTTCCCCGGGTTCTCCAGGTTCCCTGGGTTCCTCGGGTTACCCAGGTTCCCCTGGTTCCCCAAGTTTCTCGGATCCCCAGGGTTCCCTGGGTTCCCTGGGTTCCCCGGGTTCCTCAAATTCCCTGGGTTCCCTGGGTTCCTCGGGTTCCCCAGGTTCCCTGGTTTCCCCAGGTTCCCCAAGTTCATTTCCAAAAGAAAATCCCCTGATTGGGGTCGCGCCGGGTTCATTTTAGCAAAGCGTTGGGCCCATTTTGGCGATGTTGCGGGTTCCAGGGGGGGGCGACAAATTGCACCTCCCTCCTTTTGATCGATGGCCTCCAAGATGGCCCCAAGAGGCCCTCCAGGGCTCGCAAGGGACCCCGAAGAGGGCCCCAATAGGGCACCAAGACCCCCCAAAAGAGTCCCAAGAGGGCCCCGATATCCCTCAGAACAACCCCAAAAGGGCTCCGAGAGACGATTTTGTCCACGTTGTCATCCTCCTACCCTCCCCTCCTCGTCTTCCTCCTCCTCCTCCTCCTCCTCCTCCTCCTCCTCCTCGTCCTCGCCCTTGCCCTCATCGTCTTCCTTTTCCTTTTCCTCCGCTTTCTCGTCGTCGTGGTCGTCGTCCTCCTCCTCCTCCTCCTCCTCCTCCTCCTCCTCCTCCTCCTCCTCCTCCTCCTCCTCCTCCTCCTCCTCCTCCGCCTCCTCCATATCTCGCCCCCATTCGGGCCCAGGGACGGCCTGAAGAGGCCTTCGAAGCCCCCCCTCTTTTCCCAGAGATCTCTCGGTTCACCCTGGTGCCCGCTTTGTTTCACTACACGTGTCTCTTCGTCCCTTTTCGTGTCAACTTTCATGGGCTGGGTTTCCGAATGGGCTGGTAGGGATTGTTGTTGTTTGGTCGCGGCCGCAAGCGAGCGCGCAGGCGGCGTCCGAAGTCAGCCCGGGCAACGAGCGAAACTAAATTGCCTAGCGCGCGCACTAACGGCCGCCGAAGCTGCCGCCGAGGAGCGCCGGGCGACGCCGGGGGCTGAGGGCAGAGCTGCAAGCTGCGCCAGGTGTGCCAGGCGGCGGAAGTGCAACCACCCCAAGGGCGAGACCACCAGGAAAGCAAACGAATTGTACCTTGTCGCGCCAGGCGCCAGAGGTAAACGTGCCACGCTGGTGGGGATACTTTTTAGTCAGCGGCCGCAGGCGAGCGCGCCAGCGGCAAGTCCAGCCAAAGCGGGGCACGCAAGGCGTGGCGGGGATACTTTTTTGTTGGCGGCTCCCTGGCGAAGGTCAAGAAGCGGTGCATCGAACGGGGCGCGAAACGAAGATAATAGGCCGAAGAGGCGCATGCACATGCAAGGGACAAAATGACCCAAATTGAACGCCGCAGTCCAGCGCAGACATCCCGGTGGGCGGGGACGCCACGGCGCAGCGACCGGCGGCATTGCTGGTACAGCGTGACCAGGTGATCGAGCCGGGCATCCCGACGGGCGGGGACGAGCGCGGCGACCGGCACTGGGACGGTACTGGAACATCGGGGAGAAGTCGCCCTGGCGGCGCCTGTCTCCGGCCGAACCACACACGGAAGCGAGGCCAGGAGCGAGGGGAAAAGGGGGCCAGTGCGGACGCCAGCCAGGGTACACGGCAGCACCAAGAAAAAGAAAGGGCGGCAAGCAATGAAGGGCCTCACTCACCATGGCTCACTGACGCAGAGGTGTGGCTGAAGCCCGTCGTTGCACATGCGAAGGGGACAACCCCGGTCAGCGCACACGAGGTGGCGCCACCTCTAGCCTGTAGCCAGCGCATACACAACGTATCCGACTCTCGCGGTTCGGGGGCACAACGATGCAAGTACTGACAGAGGCTGATGCAGACTAATCTGCTAGGGAAACGGCCACGAACTGCAGAAGGATGAACCACTCGTGCAGGGCCACTGTGAAGCCAGACATCAGGTAACACCGGAAGTGTGGCTAACGAACGCACCCTATCTTCGTCCTTGTAGTAGCGCCATGAACGGGTCAACGTAGAACCAAGGCGACACACAGGTGGGGGGGGGGGGGGGGACGCTGCCTGCCGCAGAGCGCCGGTGACACCGTGGGAGGGCTGGCCCCACTCCACTGCCGCATCACTGGCGTGCGCTCGCAGGCTGGCAGCCAGCCGGTAGCCAGTAACCACATCGTATTCGACACACGCGGTCTGGGGGCCCAACGATGCGATGTCCTGGCGAGGGCTTGGCATGCGGCTGCGCCGAGAAGAACTACAACGTGACCGCTGAAGGCTGAACCACGTGATACGGGCCGCTCATACGGCGTGGGCACTTACCATGGTGCGCGGTGGCACCCCCGTCCACCACGTGCCAGGCTGCCCCTGCGGAGGACGTATGCGTCCGGAGCTGGGGCAGGCAGACCGCCGACCGCAGCCTGGCCGCAGGGCCGCACCCTTCGCTGGCTGCGTGCTGACCTGCCGGGCTTGGTCGACACTGCTGCTCCCTGGGCAGGTCACAACTTCCACGGACGATGCTATCTATGCCGTTGATCGCGGGGGGGCGCAGCCAAGAGCCGCAGAGACTTGTGAATGATCGGAGGGGGGTGCAGCCAGATTCCGCTGGACACAGATGTTGAGCCCTGGGCATCCACGCACGGACCGTCTCAGGGCGGACGCACCTCTGCGGCCGCAGCAATCTCCGCGCGGGGGGGCGCAGCCAAAAGCCGCAGAGTCATTGTGAATGTAGGGGGAGGGGGAGGAGGAGAAAGAGGAGACGGAGGAGGAGGAGTGGGGCGCCGACAAAGCCCAGGGCGCGGGGGATGTGCCCAGGCGACTGAAACTCCCAGGGAGGCCTCGGGGCGGCCACACCACTGCGATTGGTGCAATCTTAGCGGACATGATGGGGGGGCGCAGCCAAAAGCCGCAGAGACATTGCGAATGAGACATGGTGGGGGGCGCAGCCAAAGCCGCAGAGACATTGTGAATAAAAAGGAAGAGGGGGCGCAGCCAATGGCCGCTGAACTCCGATGGCGATCCCGATCATCCATGCACAGAGCTTCCAAACCACATGGGAATGTGGCCGATCGCGGGCGGAGCGGTACTTCGACCCCCAACCGCTGCCGTACAATATGCTATGAAAGAGGTGGAGCGCAGGAGGTGGGTTATTTCAGCCACCAATCTCTGCCGCCCAAAGTGGGCTGCCCTGGAGGGGTGGCACCGACGACCCCAT